TAATAATAATTTGCTGTATTTTTGTGTTCAGAATGAAGATAGAGTGTGAAAAAGTGTGTGATAATATGATAGCAGAAGCATTTGGATTGTTTTTTATTTCATGGAGCTATGATTTCTTTTATTATTTCGTATTAAAACATAAGGATAAAGCTGATATAAACAGATATCTGGCTAGCATGAATAGTGCCTATAAGATAATTGATTAACACGAATTAATTTAGAAAAAAAACTGTATGCATAAAAAAAATCAATAACATGACACACGCGTTTTAAACCAGTAGGTGGCGGTAAYGCTCAACTTCTGTTTCGCAATTAATTCGACGAAGAAGAGAAGAATCGAAGAAGAAGAAAGAGAAGGCGGGGCTTAATGTTTAAAAGTGGCGGGCGGAAACTGAATGAAGTTAGCTCGTCTGGAAGCAATTTATTCGTAGTATAAGTAAATGTTATTATCTATTTTCAAACAGAACTACTGCATGACGTTTTAAGGATTTATTTTACGTCCAACTGGAAGCTTAATAAAAGGTAGGTGAACGTCCTGCGATAATGACGCCACCTAAGTGGTTGCTGGGTTCAGCCCGGTTAGTTTTTTTTTTATCAAATACAATCATAAAGCTCCGATTTGTTTGCCTTTTAGCTGGTCTTCTAATATACGATAAGGTTATAGTTAGATAAACCCTAAAGTAATGCTTTTTTCCCACTAAAACACGCTCTTTATGCAGCTCAGTGTTTATGTTTTTTTTAAAAAATAAGTTTGCTCGTTGAAGTGGGGAAAAAGACATGTAAAATGACTCAGCCTGTGGGAACTGGACATCCAGTCTGCAGTTCGTTCAGGGCCAATAAATGGGTCAGACACCTTATTGGTGCACCCCAAATAAAAACATTTGACTTTAAGATGTTCTGTCACAGATGATGACTGAACTAAGCTAATAAACACTGTGGCCTCGTACTTTAATATTATGCTTCTTCTGTAAGTAGTCTACTTTATTTAAATAGTTTTTCACAAATATGTAAAACCCTAAGAAATGTCAGCCTAATTCCAAACAAGAAAGTTCAGTTGTGTGTTGGACTGTTTTTACCCATTTTGTCCTAAAATAAAAAAAAATCTAAACTTTGTCTATCTTTATTTTTAAGGGTAAATTAGATTTTGTGGCTCTGTCTGTACAAACTTCTGGCTGAATTTATGACTCAAGTGAGGCTGTTTTCATAGATTGCAGCACAGTGGTCATATTTTTTATTATAAATGTATAATAAATCACTACTTGACTCAATCAGCGATCTTATTGAATGCAAATTAATTAGCTTTAATTTTTCAGGCTCTTAACTGGACTCTTGCATCATGACGCATGAAGATGCGAAGGTGATCCCAGTCCGGGTTGCCCTGCGGTGTCGCCCACTGGTGCCAAAAGAAATCAGCGAAGGGTGTCAGTGCTGTCTCACATTTGTCCCTGAGGAGCCACAGGTAATGTGCTGATAAAAAATGCACGTTCCTGTTGTTGTCAGGTTTTCCTACTTGTCCATAAAGTCATTAATAGATGTGTGTTTAGTGGATGTGGGACACAGTATGTGGGGTGCAGATGCATATTTTGTGTTTTTCACAGGTGATTGTTGGCGCAGAGAAGGCTTTCACGTACGATTATGTGTTTGATCCTGCCGCTGAGCAAGAAGAGGTCTATAAAACAGCCGTGTCCCCTCTTCTCATTGGGCTTTTCAAAGGTAGAGCTGTCCTCACCACAGCTACCTCTCTAACTGCATCCATAATGTTTCCTCTTTGTCGTTTTCCTGGCAGCTGCATCACTAACATCCTTCTACTAACACACCCAGTGTCCCTCCTCTGGACATGTCCAAACCGTGTCAGTTTGACCTCACAAACTTTATCTCCCAGTCGACTAACTTGTGCCGTACCTTCGATCTTTTGAATGTATTTTGCTGAAACTTTCATCAACAATTTATTAACTTTTGGAGTCAACTCGATWAAAGATCAAACAGACAATTTCACAGATACAGAGTTCGATGCGCAACCGATTTCTGCAAGTTTAATCCAATCTGTCCAGTGGTTTGTGAAATATTTTGATAACAAACACAGATGTGCAGAAACATATTCACACCCTTTTTAGCTGCAGGGGATGATTGATTAATTCCTCACACTGTGGGTTTGATTTTTCTTGTTTTGATTCGTTTGTTTCCCTGCTGAATGTTGTCTTCTGGAAGGTTACCATGCCACTGTCCTCGCTTACGGACAGACCGGGTCAGGAAAGACCTTCTCGATGGGAGGAACGTACACCTCCTCTCAGGAGAATGATTCCTCAGTCGGAGTGATTCCACGTGTCATCAGGAGAATCTTTGAAGAGAGGCAGAGGAGGACAGACAGTGAATTCAGCCTCACGGTTTCATATCTGGAGGTTGGGGGGTTTGTCTTTTTTGTTTAATGTAAATTTATTTAACCTCTTTTCATCTGATRCCTTTAATTTATTTCGTTTAAAGATCTACAACGAGGAAATCCTGGACCTGCTGTGTCCATCTAAAGACAAACCTGGCATTAATATTCGGGAGGACCCTAAAGAAGGCATAAAGGTGAGAGACTGGTGTCCAGCGGGAAAAAGCAAAGTCACAGATTTGAGTTTTTTTACCCAGAAGTCTCTTCTCTCTCAGATTGTTGGGTTGACTGAGAAGCGCGTGCTGTCTGGTGCTGAGATGGTGAGTTGTTTGGAAGTTGGAAATGCTGCACGGACGGTGGGTTCCACGGCCATGAACGCCGCCTCGTCGCGCTCCCACGCCATCTTTACCATCACACTGGAGCAGCGCCGGAAATCAGACAAGTCAGTGTTGTTACCCTGATCACTGCTGCGCTTTAACATCAATGRTCTAAAAGGACAAAAATCAAATAAAAATACAGGAAACGTCACAATCAGCTGGTTAACAGTGAATAACACCAAACGTCTGTTGCAGAGCGGACTGCATCGTTTCAAAGCTGCACCTGGTGGATCTTGCTGGTTCCGAGCGACAAAAGAAAACGAAAGCAGAGGGAGATCGTTTGAAAGAAGGTAACCACATTTTTCTGCTCGACTCACTCGATAGGATGAAGTCAGTGCAGAAAATCTTGTTTGTACCAGTTTGGAGTAAAAAAAAACAAGCTGACTCACCCATAAATTTGAGCTTTTTTGAGAGTTAAACTGTATTTCTGAATTCTCTGATGTGCTGCTGTTCGCACATCTTTACCATGTTTTCTATTTTCAGGGTTCGTACTCGTTTCTGAAAAGTTTGAATTTAGTTTCAGTATTTTCCACGTCTGGATACTTAATGGATTGAAATATGGAAAAATGTGTAGAGAAAAATCAGTGTTTCCAGACTTTTTACAGTTATACAATTTTTAAAATATATAAATTACATTTGTTGAAGAAATAGG